ACCCTATTCCCAGTACCTCCTATAATTCCAGCACTTAATTGGTCTCCATAAATATTAGTGGAATTAACGGATATCTCAGACTGAGTGATATATACAAAATATCAAATCCAATAAAGTGTGAATGCCAGTTTTGGCCACGAAATAAAATCGTCAAAGAAAATCATGAACTCTTGCGTTTAGACTCAGGAAATCATGCCTGGACAGGCTGGGAGAGCCTGGCTCACTGTGGGAAGTGCCTGCGGGGTTGGCCAACAAGCTCAGTGATGTGGCCTCCCAGAAAATGTTCTTGGGGTGGGGTACATTAGGCTCCGCAGAAACCTTCTAAACCTGACTTCCCAGGCCCCATCTGGAGCATCTAGTTAGCTCAGTGTTCCAAACTTTGGACACAGGGTGTTGTAGTGAGAGCTGTGAGAGGTACTGGGGATGTGAAGCTGAAAGATGCCTTCACTGCAGGCTGGGGCCACCATCCCACCCACGTGGTCAGAGGGTTGGCTATCAGAAGCACACCAACTTCCAAGGAAAGAACTTACTAAATAGTAGATGCTTCCAAAAGTGGAAATTTTGCTTCATTAATGAAAATGCATATTTTCAACTGTAAGTGGTAGAAAATTTATCTCACTGCTGTAAGTTAAAAAACAAACCAAAAAAGAGGAAAGTTGGTGGCTCATGCCTGTAATCCCAGCTACTCAGGAGGCAGAGATCAGAAGGATTGAGGTTCAAAGCCAGCCCAGGTGAATAGTTCCTGTGACCCTATCTTGAAAAAACCCATCACAAAGAAAAAGGGCTGGTGGAGTGGCTTGAGGTGTAGGCCCTGAATTCAAACTCCAGCACCACAAAAAAAAAAAAAAAAAGAGAACAGAGGGGTAGCAATGTAGTGGCTGATAGAACTGAAAAGCCCAGGAATAAAACTAGCTGCAGGCATGGTTAGATCCAGGTAATTAAAGATGGTCTCAGGCCTCAAAGAGCTTGTGCTCTCTGCTGTGAGTTCTGCTTTCCCCTGTGTTAGTCAAGTTCTGCCCCAAGGGCAGCACATGGTTCTGACAGCTCTGGGTAAATGCTTTCTTTTCTGCTACCCCAGAAAGAAGTCAGATGTCAAAAACCACTAGAATGATTTTTGAAACCAGAGGTGGTGGTGTACGCCTGTAATCCCAGCACTCAAGGAACTCAGGCAGAATGATCTTGAGTTTAAAGCCAGCCAGGGTTACATAGTGAAACGCTGTCTCAAAAAAAAAGCCCCACAAAACGAAAAGAAAAAACTTCACATTATTGGTTCTGCCGTTTGTAGTTGGCATCGGAGCCATATTTTTTGGTTCCCAGCTTCTGTGGCTCCACTTCAAGCTCAAGACTCAAGTATGAGTCTGTAGGCTCATCCTTGGGGCTATAGCTTTTCATGAGGAAAGAGTAACCACATTTCACTCTGTCTACTGCCAACGCACACACAAGATGTTTCCAGCCTGGCTATTGTGAATGGTGACACTGTAAGCGCCCTCACACGTGTCTGGCCCGTCTGTCCTTGCATTTCTGTTGGTGTATACCTTGCTAGATCCCAGGGCACAGTTGTGTTCAGTTTTCATAGATTCTGCCAACGTGGGTGTACTGATTAGCACTCTTGGGGCAGTGCTGAAATCCCTGGATTTGCTGGCATCTCTGTCCCATCCTGCTGGAGGGTGACAGGTCTGAACTTCACCTTGGAAAGAGGCTGGGGCTTGTTGATCACTATCTCATGGGTGGCTGTCTCTGGCATTTGGTGATGTTTTGTACACGCCATCTATCACGAATCTTCCTCTCAAGGACTGAGGTCGTTATAGGGAATGATTTCTCTGCCACACCACAGGGCTGGGGTGGCTGAAGGCTTCCTTTCCACAGTGCTGAGGGGCAGCAGAGCAGGCAACTGTTTTTCTTAGAAGCCAGGCCTTTGGTTAGAGCCCCTGGGAGCTCATCCTCTGCACTCATCCTGGCCTTCCCAGATGGAGTGGCCCAAAGGCACCCTGACTTCCCAAGCTTGACCAAAGTATGTTTAGTGTCACAAAGGGATGCACCAGGATTTCTGACTGTCCCCTAAATTTTGAATCAGATTAAGGCTTTGGCCTCACCAGTCTCAGAAAGAGGAACCCTGAGTCGGATGTGGTTTCACAATCAAAGGAAGTGGCTGCCTGCAGTGGTGGCCTTGGGAGGGCTCGGTGACATGCAGGTCCTGCTGCTCAGAGCAGCTTCTGTGTCCAGCAAGGATGAGCCCGGGCCCAGTTGGCACCGCCGCTCAAAGGACGTCTTTCTTAAACCAAACATGTCCTTGCGACTATATTCAAAAAAATCACATAAATCCAGGAGAATGTGACCTTATAGCCTTACAGTAGGTAGGAAAGTTTTAATTTTTTTTTTTTTTTTTTGCTGCTGGGGATCAAACCCATGTGCTACTGAGCTACATCCCCCAGCCCAAAAGTGTTTTTCTGGTTTGTTTTTTTGTTTTTTGGATGGGACCAGGGTTTGAACATGGGGCTTCACGCTTACAAAGCAGGTAAGCTTTGACATGCTTGAGGCGTGTCTCCAGTTCATTGTGCTCTGGTTATTTTGGAAATGGGGGCTCATGAACTATCTGCCCAGGCTGGTCTTGATCTCAGCCTCCCAAGTAGCCAGGATCACAGATGGGAGGCACAAGCGCCTGGCCCATAACCGTTTTTTTTTTTTTAATCAAAATCATAGAACATAAAACAAAAGATGAAGCCAGGCATAGTAGTGCACTCAGTTGGCTGAGGCAGGAGGATCGTGAGTTGGAGGCCAGCCTAGGCTGCATAGTTAAGACCCTGCCTCAAAAAACAAAAGGTAAAACGAAACAAAAAGATGGGTACATTTGACTGCGTCAACATTAAAAATTTCTGCTCTCCAGAAAAACACCATAACTAAGTGAGAAAGATGACTCGGATTAGGAGAAGACATTTCCAGCTCCACAAAGGAGTGAGTGTAGGATAGGTAGAGAAGTTTATAAACTCATCTGAACATAAATAACCGCAGGGGAACAGGCCAAGCTTCTCAGCAGGCTATTTTACCGAGGTTAAACATTTTATGGAGAACCGTGGAAGTGCAGATTAAAGCAGCGTGGGACCATTCATAGCCATCAAATTGGCAGTGAGGGTAAGTGTGACAACACCAAGTGCCGGGGAAGGCCAGCGGTGTGACTGCTCCTGTCACCACCACAGGAAGGCATTAGTTGCACCTGTCACAAGTTATACCACATGTGACTCTTGGAATGTGGCTAGTGTGATTGAGGAATGGAACTTTGAAACAGTCTAGTTAATTTTAATTAATTTAAGTTTAAAAACTGATACGTGACTCATGTTTTAGAAGAGTTTGAAGAGTGGGAAAGCCTACTTTTCATTGGTAAATCATACGAAATCTGTGAACAGATAAATGTTTCTAAAGTAACTTTTCTATATTTATTACCTGTGGGAATTAACCATCTTTTGGATATATTGGGTTAAATAAAATATAAAGTTTCATTTTATCCGTTTCTTATTTGTGTGTGTTTGTGAATGTGTGGCAGTGCCAGGGTTTGAACTCAGGGCTTTGCACTTGTTAGACTGGCACTCTACTGCTTGAGCCATGCCACCTTTTTGCTCTTGTTTTTGAGATAGGCTCTCACATTTTCCCCAGGCAGCCTGGTCCTCAATCCTCCTGTTGTAGTTGGAATGACAGGTGTGCACCATCACACTCAGCTTTTCTGCTGGGACTTTTTCTCCTTGGGACTGAGATCCTTCCCAGCTCAGGCCTCCAAGCAGCTCAGATTAGAGTTGTTTTGTTGTTGTTGTTGTTGTTGCAGTACTGGGGTTTGAACTCAGGGTCCTCACTCTCTAGACAAGTGTTTTATCACGTGAGCCACGCCTCCAGCCCTTTTTGCTTTATTTTTCAGATGGGGGCTCCTATTTTTTGACCCAGCCTGACCTCAGACCACAGTACTGTCTCCACCTACCAGGTAGCTGGGATTAGAGGCGTAGGTCACCACTGTAGACTTCTTTTCCCTTTTTGATAATGTGACTACTGGTAACATTGACACTGATTTTATGGTTCAGGGATTTCTCTTGAACAATACTTTTCTGTATTCTCACATGTACACAGGGGCATGAGCAAGCAATATACATTGTAACATTGCTTGCAATAACCAAGAAAAGTAGAAACAAACCATGAGATTCGTCAACAAGAGTGGAGGTAAATAAACAGAGCTTTCTTTACCCAGTGGAGTACTATGTAAGAGAGAAAATGAATGAACCTGAGCTATGTGCATCCATCCCACAGGTAGATCTAAAGAACATTCTATCCTGAGTAGGCAAAACAGGTTGCAGAAGACTCATTGTATAAGATTTTAAAGCATGAAGGAATGTTAGTAATTGTTCATGGCTACATATTAGTATAATAAAAGTCTAAAAACATATACAGAAACCATCAACAACCAGATCCCAGGTGGTGGTGGTGACCTGGAAGGGGGAGGCTGGAGCTGGGGGAAGGGATATGGTGACCTGGAGTGCATTGGGGGTGCACAAGGACCTTTAATTGTCTCTGTGATGTTTTGTTACTTTCTGGTGGGGGATAAGAAAGGTGATTGGGGGTTTGTTATGACTGAGCTATCACAACAAATTGTTGGATGACCACATCCATTTTGAAGTCAGTTGGTTCCTGGTTAGAATGTTTCAAAGAACTGCAGCCTTTGGTCTTTGCCTGAGTCCTGTGGTGTCCGTTCAGACATCCTGCTTTTTCCCATCTGTACCTGCCGGTGGCCGTGATGGGGCTTCCAGATGTGGATGTTCCTAGGGACATGATTTGGCCTGGGGCTGGTGGTGTCTGGCATGAGTCTATTCATACTGCCAAGAGGGCAGCTCAGTCCAGACAGTGGCCTGGCCTGGGGTGGTGGGAGCCATAAGCCACCTGGACAGGACAGGTCCAGACATACTGTTTTCCAGAGACCTCATACAGCACACTTGGGACAATTCATTCTCCCTCTGCTCCTTCTGCAGGACAGCTGGCCTCTGAGAAGTAAGAAAACAGGATGCCCCCAGGGGTGGACTGCCCCATGGAGTTCTGGACCAAGGAGGAGAATCAGAGTGTAGCCGTTGACTTCCTACTGCCCACAGGGGTCTACTTGAACTTCCCTGTGTCCCGTAATGCCAACCTCAGCACCATCAAGCAGGTACAGTCTCCATCTTAAGCCTAGTCCTCAGGTCCAGAGAAAAAGACCAACCTACAGACAGACATCATTTCTCAGACTGGGGCACTCAGCTGCAAAACTTAAAAGATATAAAATGTCCAAGAATTGTTTCAAAATCTTGCGGCTAAACTCCACCCGTCATTCCAAATTCAACTGCCACTTAACAGCCTGTGTTCCCCTCTCCTGATCACTACGTTATTAGCTACTAGCCTCGATGACAGTGCCAGCGAGGTGGCATCCTGATGGGCTGTCAGTCTACCCGCATGGCATAGGCTGTCAGTGCACCGCCACTTCAGAAATATCCCTGCTAGAGTGGACGACATCCTGGCAAATTGATTTTGGTTTACTGGATAGCTTTCAGGATAACCCCAAATCAAAGCATTAATCGTCTGGGTGGTATTTGATAGCTATCATCCTGTGACTGTCAAAAGGTGTGTGCCCCTCACAAAGTGCAGGATTTAATGGTTGCGCTTGGGGCTTGAGATAAGGACAAGACCTTATCTCAGAATTTTAAATGCTGTAACTGGCAGCAAAAAAAAAAAAAAAAAAAAAAGATAGAACCAATAGACCAGCCTTGAGGTGTTTTGTTTTCTTTCTTTTTTTTTCTTCGCAGAACTGGGGATTGAATCCAGGGTCTTGCACCTGGTAGGCAAAAGCTCTTATCACTTGAGCTGTGCCCCAACCCTTTTGTTGTTATCTTGTTCTTTGCTCCAACTGGCCTCAAACTTGGGATCCTCCTGTCTCCACCTCTTCAGAGTAGCTGGGATTACAGGTGTGCGCCATGTCTGACTCTTTTTTTTTCCCTTTCCTGGGAAGGGTTCTTTTAAGATTGAGTTTCTTTGTTTCTTTTCCCCTTACTACAGATATAATATGGACATATTAAAAATTAGGAAAATAGGGCTGGGGCATGCTCAAGTGGTAGAGCACTTAGGGCACTGAGTTCAAATCCTGGTACCTCAAAAAAAAGAAGGAAAACAAACTGTCTGTGACCCATCCTTATGAGACAACCACTGTCAACACTTTGACTGTTTCCTGTTCTGTATCTGCAGCATTGCTTTTTGTGAATATTATGATTAGAGTTCCATTTCTCTTTTCTGAGTGGCCCTTATGCCATCTTGATCATGTTATAAACTACATAAACATTGGAAGGTTAATCTTGCTTTTCATCACACAGGGCTGCCCATGGGTGATTAAGGGTCACAAACTGCAGAAGCATAAAATACTCTGGTCCCTGAGGACTTGCCTCACCTTCAGTTTGGTTTCAGTTTCTTCATATTTGTATTTCTACCAGAGGCCAGGCAGTAAATATCGTGGGCTTGGAGGGCTGTATGTTTGTTATCTGTTGCCTGCCATCGCAATGGCACAGTGACAGCAGCCCTAGGTAATGTGTGAATGATGGGCGCTATGGTAACCTTTTCTGCATTAGTTTCCAATATTTAAAAATCAGGGGATAAGTTGGCCACCGGTTGTTCATGCCATTAATCCTAGCTGCTTGGGAGGCTAAGATTGGGAGGATCATGGTTCAAGGCCAGCCGGGGCAAATAGTTCTCAAGACCCCATCTCCAAAATAACCAGGGCAAAAGGAACTGGAGGTGCGGCTCAAGTGGTAGAACACTTGCTTTGCAAGTGCAAAGCTCTGAGTTTAAACTCCAGTCTCACCAAAAAAAAAAATTGGGATGAACCCCAGAACAATCAGCTGCAGGGTGCTTGCAGGTCATCTCTGAGCATCTTCAGGGTAGCCTAATGGTGGTCCATGCACTCTGTGAGGGAGACAGTGGGATGCACCACCCAGACCTGAATCTTAGCACATCCCAGCGAGCAGGAACAGGAGGGCTGTTGACCACGTGGTCGGTCCCCAGAGGCTGGAGAGGGCTTGGCTCCTTGGGGTCCGCCTTTGCAGTCCCCCAGGCTAGAGGACTAACCATGGCCATCCCTCCCAGGTGCTATGGCACCGTGCCCAGTACGAGCCGCTCTTCCACATGCTCAGTGACCCCGAGGCCTACGTGTTCACCTGTGTCAACCAGACCGCTGAACAGCAGGAACTGGAGGATGAGCAGCGGCGGCTCTGCGACGTCCAGCCCTTCCTACCCATGCTGCGCCTGGTGGCCCGAGAGGGCGACCGTGTGAAGAAACTCATCAACTCTCAGATCAGCCTCCTCATCGGCAAAGGTACCTCTGCTGGGGGCCCGAGCCCCCCAGGCTGACCTCAAGTTCCCCCCCACTGACCCCTGCTCCCCACCCCACAGGTCTCCATGAGTTTGACTCCCTGCGCGACCCAGAAGTGAACGACTTCCGAGCCAAGATGCGCCAGTTCTGTGAGGAGGCGGCCGCCCGCCGCCAGCAGCTGGGCTGGGAGGCCTGGCTGCAGTACAGTTTCCCACTGCAGCTGGAGCCATCGGCGAGGAGTTGGGGGGCTGGCACCCTGCGGATCCCTAACAGGGCCCTTCTGGTCAACGTCAAGTTTGAGGGCAGTGAGGTGAGCCTGTGGCCCCTGTGTCCAAAGGAGGCTGGCTTGCATGCTGCATGCCTGTAAGGGACTGTCCCCCGTTTAACTCCTTAGTCCCCTGAATTCAATCTCCTCTCAGTAGCATCAGATGGGATTTGCCAGGGCTCCCTGCATCCCAGGGGATTAGCCGAGTGCCCTACCAGGCAGACTCAACAGGGCCGATTGACCTGGCTTTAGTCATTGGTCCATCCATTCATTGAACGAGGGTTGCTTATGTTGACTGGGTGTGCCATCATCTGCCAACACCAATTGCTACCCATGGGGCTCACCTGTGCCTCAGAAGCCCAAGGGACCTACAGGGCAGAGGGCTGACCCTTCTCCTCCCCCCAGGAGAGCTTCACCTTCCAGGTGTCCACTAAAGACATGCCCCTGGCGCTGATGGCTTGTGCCCTCCGCAAGAAGGCCACCGTGTTCCGGCAGTCCCTGGCAGAGCAGCCCGAGGACTATGCGCTGCAGGTGAATGGGAGGCACGAGTACCTGTACGGCAGCTACCCCCTCTGCCAGTTCCAGGTGAGGCCCGCGGGGGGGGCCCTCTGCACGTGCAGGAGTGAGTGAGACAATCAGAGCCAGGACTCATGAGCCAGGACTTTGGGGTCACTGTGAGAGCATCCCCTTCCTGGCTGGCTCTCCATGGGGGCTGGACCCATCAGTAGCTCACCGTGTACCCCTATCCCAGTATATCTGCAGCTGCCTGCACAGTGGACTGACCCCTCACCTGACCATGGTCCACTCCTCCTCCATCCTGGCCATGCGGGACGAGCAGAGCAACCCCACCCCCCAAGTCCAGAAGCCACGCACCAAACCTCCCCCAGTACCCGCAAAGAAGGTAGGACGGCATATTCTTCTTCCCTTCCCTCCGTCTCTCCCTGTTGCTTGTGATCCAGCCTCAGAGCCCATTGGGCAGCACCCCAGGAGGGCCATGAATCAGGGGCCTTTGGTGTGTCTGGTCTGTGTAGTGTAGAGCTGGGGCCGTGAGCAAGGGAAGCCCACATAACTGGCATCCCAAGATAGGGCCTGCCCCTGGCCTGGGCAGCTCCCAGGCTAACTCCCTTCTCCTCTACAGACCTCAGGGAACTGGGGCCCCTGGGAGTCTATGTGTCAGATTTTCTGGTAAAAGGTGGCGTTGGGGACAGGTGTCTGAGCCTTGCCACAAACCCTGTTCCCTCTCCTCCCCCAGCCTTCCTCTGTGTCCCTGTGGTCCCTGGAGCAGCCATTCTGCATTGAGCTAATCCAGGGCAGCAAAGTGAATGCTGATGAGCGGATGAAGGTAGGGAGCTGTGTTTTTTGCATAAACAAGGTAGCTGTGGCCGGGAGGGGCGGCAGAGGAAGAAGAGTGGGAAGGTGTCACACGAAAGCCACCTGACCACATTACCCAGCATCCCTGCCTGGAGTGGTTGTGAGTCTCTTCAAAACAGGAAGAGGGGAGGGGAGCAGGCCAGCAGGCGGGAGACTGATTCGTGGAAACCAGGCTGAGCCGATTTCTGGGTATTTGACTTTGGTAGAGGTTGTGGGGATAAAGGAGGTGCTGTCTGGGGAGGTGTGAGGGACCAGGAGGGGTTAGCTTCAGCTGGACTGGGTTGCACCCGGGCAGCACCCAAAAGTGTCTGCCGCCTCATCCACTGGAGGTCATGTCCTCTCTGGGTTGTAAGGACAGTGTGCTGCTCTTTTGTCTCTTCAACACATTTTCCTATGCCCCATCCTCAGAGATACCTGCCAGGTGTAGGTTTTAATGTCCCATTTGTAGGATGCAATGCCTGGGTTCATGGAGGCTGGGCCTCTTGCCTTGGGTCACTTTTTCTTGGGATGATTTTGGAAGTTGGGCAGGGCTGGTACAATCATGGATGATTGGACAGGAAGGACTCTTGGGATGAGCTGGTGGGGTAGAACCAGAGGACATGCGCTGGGGTTGGAAAGGTGGCACTAAAACCCCTCCTCACCCACATGGGCACCCAAGAGTGGATGATATTAGAGCCAGCAGGGTCCCTGGACCCTGCTGGACTTGCCAAACCCCCTTGGGGAAGCCAGAGCCTAAAATGGCAAAGGGATAAGCCTTGAGGTCTTGAGTCAGAAGAGCTGAGACCAGATTGCTCATGCTTGGCCTTCTCTGCTAGACCACCTTCTTCCATGCAGGAAGCAGATTCAGACCCGCATGAGAACAAGGATATTTGAAGGGCTGGAGGCATGGCGCAAGGCCCTGAGTTCAAACCCCAATACCGCCAAAAAAAAAAAAAAAAAAAGAATTTGAGGAAGGAATTGGTGGGAAGGGCCTGGGAAGGGAGAGGAGTCCAAGGTCTCGGCACCCCTCACCCTGCACCTGGCACCACCTCCCCCACAGCTGGTGGTGCAGGCCGGGCTCTTTCACGGCAATGAGATGCTGTGTAAGACGGTGTCCAGCTCAGAGGTGAGTGTGTGCTCGGAGCCTGTGTGGAAGCAGCGGCTGGAATTTGACATCAACATCTGTGACCTGCCACGCATGGTCCGGCTCTGCTTTGCACTCTACGCCGTCGTTGAGAAGACCAAGAAGGCTCGCTCCACCAAGAAGAAGTCAAAGAAGGCGGTGGGTAGGGCGACTGGGAGGGGTCCAGGCCTCCGATGGCCAGTACAACTCCTTGTAAGGCCATTAGCCATCCTGCTCCCACAGGATGGGTGGCCTGAGGACAGGGGTCCTGGGAGGGTTTGGGGACCCCAGCCTCCCTGCCCATTCTACTCTGCCTGAGTGACAGCTTGTGAGCAGCCTGACCCAGACCTGTGGTCCTTGCAGGGTCCTGGAGGCAGTTTCCTGGGTGTCCTCAGGGAAACAAAAGGGGTCAAGTGAATGGCTACCTGTGGAGGAGCGTGGCTGGGCCCGGAGTCACCAGGCCCAGGATACAGCTCACCCGTTGGCCCTGCTAACTCAGGAAGAGTGAGGGGGCCAGCACTGGGGCCAGTGAGGTTGGTTCAGGGCTTTCTCTAGAAGCTGGGAGCAGGGATGCAAGCAGAAGCAGAAGGGGCCTTGCCGACTTCGTCACTGGGACCCCAACAAGAAAGTGGAGTCAGAAGGTCCTCTCTCTTCCCAAGCTGGGTCTTCCTGGAGGTCTAAAAGTTGGGGAACTTCCAGGGGGGGTTCTGGGTCTTCTCTCTCACGCTGTGGAATGGGATGAGCACGAGGAGACCCATGCCACGAGCTGACCTGCCCACGTGCTTCCCCAGGACTGCCCCATCGCCTGGGCCAACCTCATGCTGTTCGACTACAAGGATCAGCTCAAGACTGGGGAGCGCTGCCTGTACATGTGGCCCTCTGTCCCAGGTGGGTCCAGGCCCCAGGGAGAGGCTTGTGGGAGTGAGGGTGCCAGGGCTAGCGTCCTCTGTACAACTCCGTCTGTCCCTGCGCTCAGATGATAAAGGAGAGCTGCTGAACCCCGTGGGTACTGTACGCAGCAACCCCAACACAGAGAGTGCTGCCGCCCTGGTCATCTGCTTGCCTGAGGTGGCCCCCCACCCTGTGTACTATCCTGCCTTGGAGAAGGTCAGTGGGGTCCCTTCCTGGAGGCTATAGGAATAGATAATGGGCTTTCCTGGCCTTGCTTTTGGAGCTGTTCAGAGAGCAGACCCCAGCAACTCCAGGATGTGCCCCAGGTGCCTGCTAATGGGTCACCATGCCCATTTAGGGGCTTCCAGGAGCCATGTGGCCCACAAGGGGACATTGGGTAATGTCTAATGACATTTTGGGTTGTCACAGCTAGTGGGAGGGATGTTCCTGCATGTTGGAGGTAGAGGTCAAGGATGCTACAATGCCCAGGACTGTCCCCACCAGCAAAAGTAACGGGCAGTAGTGCCAAGGTACAGACACCCTGCTTGGGGCCCTGCCGGGGCCAGCCCATACCCAGGGCGCTGAGAGCAGGGCTGCTTGTTGCAGATCCTGGAGCTGGGGCATCATGAGGAGCGTGGCCGCATCACCGAGGAGGAGGTGAGCTGGGGTCCTGGGTGGGGTGTGGAGCCAGGGGCAGAGCTGGAGTCCTTACTCTTCCTGCACCCCTCAGCAGCTGCAGTTGCGGGAAATCCTGGAGCGGCGGGGATCTGGGGAGCTGTATGAACATGAGAAGGACCTGGTGTGGAAGCTGCGGCACGAAGTCCAGGAGCACTTCCCAGAGGCCCTGGCCCGTCTGCTGCTGGTCACCAAGTGGAATAAGCATGAGGATGTGGCCCAGGTGGGTGGAGAGGGGTGCCAGAGGGAAGAGCTGGGGATGGCCTGCCACCGCCTGCCCACCACCTGACCATCACACCCCCCAGATGCTCTACCTGCTGTGCTCCTGGCCCGAGCTGCCGGTCCTGAGCGCCCTGGAGCTGCTGGACTTCAGCTTCCCCGACTGCCACGTGGGCTCTTTTGCCATCAAGTCCCTACGGAAACTGACGTGAGTCCCTGATTCTGGTGAAGGCAGCTTTGCTCCAACCACCTGGAAGTGGGCACTGTGTGGGGATGAACCTGTCCTTGCAACAGTCCAGGCCGCCCGTCCCTCCTATCCTGCCACCCGCCAGCTGCAGATCTCCGGCCTTCCTTCCCCGCAGGGATGACGAGCTTTTCCAGTACCTGCTACAACTGGTGCAAGTGCTCAAGTATGAGTCCTACCTGGACTGCGAGCTGACCAAATTCCTGCTGGACCGGGCCCTGGCCAACCGCAAGATCGGCCACTTCCTCTTCTGGCACCTCCGGTAGCTGGATGAACTTGGCTGGCTCCTTGGGACCTTGGGCCTGCTTGACTCCCTGGCCACCCTGGGTCCTACCTGGGCTGGGCAGGGGCTTTGTGGCCCTGCCCGGTGAGGCTCAGCCCTGTTTTCCTTCCTTTAGTTCTGAGATGCATGTGCCATCTGTGGCCCTACGCTTTGGCCTCCTCATGGAGGCCTACTGCAGAGGTAGCACCCACCACATGAAGGTGTTGATGAAGCAGGTGAGGCTGGGGGTGCCCTGGCCACGGCTAGGCGCCGCTTCCAGGCAGGGTCAGGTCTGGCCTCTTAAGAATCACAGGGGCTGGCTGAGGCTCACGGCCACTGCTGCCCTTCCACTGTCCCCACCAGGGGGAAGCATTGAGCAAGCTGAAGTCGCTGAACGACTTTGTAAAGGTGAGCTCCCAGAAGACCACCAAGCCCCAGACCAAGGAGCTGATGCACTTGTGCATGCGCCAGGAAGCCTATCTGGAGGCCCTGTCCCACCTGCAGTCCCCGCTTGACCCCAGCACCCTGCTGGAAGAAGTCTGGTGAGCCCCCAGCCCAGCCCACGGGCTCTTCCCCGCCTCGGGCCTGTGGATGAGCCCTCGCCAACTGTTTGCGGTCTGGCCACAGTGTGGAGCAATGCACCTTCATGGACTCCAAGATGAAGCCCCTGTGGATTATGTACGGCGGCGAGGAGGCGGGCAGTGCTGGCAGCGTGGGCATCATCTTTAAGAACGGGGATGGTGAGCCAGTCGGGCCCACTCCATCCCTGTCCTGCTCGGGGAGCGGTCCTGGGGGTGAACTGAAAAGATAGCGTCCTGAATTTAGGAGCCTGGGCAGGGCAGGAGTGGCGAACCCACCACAAACTCGTGTTCTTCCTTCTGGCCACCGCAGACCTCCGCCAGGACATGCTGACTCTACAGATGATCCAGCTCATGGATGTCCTGTGGAAGCAGGAGGGCCTGGACCTGAGGTGGGGCCCTGTCATCCGTTCAGTCTGAACCAGCCCTCAAACTATGCCTTTGAAGGGGTCCCTGGTCAAAGCCCTGTGCCAGCTCGCAAAGGCAGGAAGGCCACAGAGCAGCTGGAGGAGAGTGGGGAAGGCCATTTCTGGTACCAAGCATCTGTCTTGCTCCTGGGTTTCCTGGCTTCCTGCCCCATCCTGGGAAGCAGTGACATCTTCTTCTGAGCCCCCCTGGCTTGTTCTTTTCAGGCCCAACGTGAGCTCAGCCAAGATGCACTCTCCATCTTGGGTCTCTGAGGAGTCAGGAGCCCAGTTTCCCCTCCTTCTCGGCAACTTGAGTGGCAGTGTCCCCTGTGGCTTTTTAGGGTGCCTCAAGTCCCTGGGGTTCAGCAACCCCAGGGACAGCCTTTGACCATGGCATTTGCCTTTCCCTCCTCCAACTTGGTTAGAATGACCCCCTATGGCTGCCTCCCCACGGGTGACCGCACAGGCCTCATCGAGGTGGTGCTCCACTCAGACACCATTGCCAACATCCAGCTGAACAAGAGCAACATGGCAGCCACAGCTGCCTTCAACAAGGATGCCCTGCTCAACTGGCTCAAGTCCAAGAACCCTGGGTAGGTCTCAGGACCCCCTTCCTGAGAGGTGCGATGCGTGCGGGTAGGGGCTGGCCTGTTAAGAGCCAAGGTGAGGGGAAAGGCCTGTGACTCTGTCTGCTGCCTGGCTCTGCCAAGAACTAGCTGGCGTCTGGGTTGGGGCAGGTCTCTGTTCCCATGTGTCACTTACCATTGCTGTTAAAGCTACTCAAAACAGGGCCTAAATCAACCATTTCTTATTGGCTCAGCTGAGTGGTTGTGCAGGTCTTGCTTGAATGGTTCATTCAACTTCTGTCATCTGGGATTTGCCTGAGCCTGGAGGGTCTAAGTTGGCCCCAGTTGAGTGCTTGGGGCTGTCAGCCTTGCCTTTCCATGTGGCCTCTGCTCATTGAGTAGATCAACCTCAGCTTCTCCTCTGTTAATAGTGGTCATGAGCGGTGAGAGGTGGGGGGAATATTCGGGGTGTTTAGGCCAAAAGCTCTGGGATGTTTTGTTTTGTTCATTTGGCTGTCCCGGGGACTCAGGACTTCGTGCTTATATGGCAGGCACTCCACCACTTTAGCCACACTTCTAGCCTGCTGACTGATTAAAGCAAACCACCTGGCGAGACAGAAGGGGAGGGGAACAGACTCCACCTCTGGTGGAAGCAGCTGCACAATGGTGTGGCCATGGCTTTCAATCTTCCCCACCCAGGGAGGCCCTGGATCGAGCTATCGAAGAGTTCACCCTCTCCTGTGCTGGCTACTGTGTGGCCACCTATGTGCTGGGCATCGGTGACCGGCACAGTGACAACATCATGATCCGTGAGAGTGGGCAGGTAGGGTGCAGTGTGCGCTACTGCCCTTGGGCCCAGTCCTAGCCTGTGGCTCCTCTGCCCGCACACTTCCTGGATGAGTTCCCTGAGCCCCACTGGTTTCCCTATCTCCCGAGGGAGCCCCAGATGGAGGCAGTCTTCTTTCTCTGCCATATTTTTTCCTCCTCCCTGAGGTGCTGGGGATGCAATCCAGTATCTCTTGCACGCTAGACAAGTGCTCTACAACCAAACTGCTCCCACTCCCCACTTTCTGATCTTTTCAGCTGTACCCTTCCCTCCCCTCAGCTGTTCCACATTGATTTTGGCCACTTTCTTGGGAATTTCAAGACCAAGTTTGGAATCAACCGTGAGCGAGTCCCTTTCATTCTCACCTACGACTTTGTCCATGTCATTCAGCAAGGGAAGACTAATAACAGTGAGAAATTTGAAAGGTGAGGGGACAGAGGTTTCCAGGCAGGGGACAGGAACAGGGACTCTGCCCACAGTCCCATTCCTGGTTCCCAGCCCTAGACTGCTGGATTGGAAGGTGTCACTGCGTTCTCATTAAGCCCCTCAACCCTGGATGATGTCTCTTAGGACAGGTGGGGAGGAGGTCTGTGGGTTGTGGAGGAGGCAGGCTGGGGTTGGGGCTGTCAGAGGAACTGGAGGCTTTGTGCACAGGCAGCCTCTCTGGGAAGCTGCTGATGGGATGGACTGCCTCACTGGCCTCACTGGCCTCACTGGCCTTGGGCTGGGAGTGGCAGGCAGGATGTAGGGCCTCACCTGCCCTGTCCCACCACTGCAGGTTTCGGGGCTACTGTGAAAGAGCCTACACCATCCTACGGCGCCATGGGCTCCTCTTCCTCCACCTCTTTGCCCTAATGCGGGCAGCAGGCCTGCCTGAGCTCAGCTGCTCCAAAGACATCCAGTACCTCAAGGTAGGCCAGAGCAGGATTACACTGGGAAGGTGGTGACAGGGATGACCATTACTTCCCGAAGCCTGTCAGAACACGGTGCAGAACTAAGAGGGGCCCTGCGCCAATGCGGCAGTCCCAGGAGGCACTGAAACTGACAAGGTCCTCATGCCAATTCCAGACCCCAGCAGTGGGATCTGGTGCCAAGTGGCTGGTTTGGCCAACTAGCTGGATTTAGTCCTGCTCAGTCGCAGATGCATTGTGACCTTCCTTGGTTAGCCCTCCCTCGTGCCTTCAAGTGCACACCAAGGGCTGTATGGGATGGTTTCCATCTACATCTCCCAAAGTGGTTTTCGTTCCCATGTCTTCAGTTTGGGGTGGGGAGGATGGGCCACAGACCCTGCTTGGGCATCCCCTGAAGCTGCCTCTGTCCTCCTGTTTCAGAGCTTCAGGCCAGGACACCTTTGGCAACTGAATCAGTGGGGGCCGAGGGGGGCAAGGGACCGGTCTGGGTTTGGGAGCTTCCTTGTGGGAGTTGCTCACCTCTCTCCTAATTCCTTTCAGCAGTAGTTTTTCAGGGAATTTCAAATACCCCAAGGGAGCAGAATAGGCAGGCAGATAGGTTTGCATGATGGAGCAGGGACAGGGCTCCCTAGAATATGACCCTACCTTGACTATTCTGTCTCAGGACTCCCTGGCACTGGGGAAAACAGAGGAGGAGGCACTGAAGCACTTCCGGGTTAAGTTCAATGAAGCCCTGCGGGAGAGCTGGAAGACTAAAGTGAACTGGCTAGCACACAACGTGTCCAAAGACAACAGGCAGTAGTGGCCCCTTCCTGGCTGCCACACTGGTCCCCTCAACCGTCTGTCCTGTGGACTAGGTGCCCTCAGGCTTCCTATCAGGGGCCTAAAAGCCTCAACTGCACCTCATGGGAAAGAACCACACAATTGCCTTTTGTTTACACTGGTTATTTATTTATGACTACAAATATTTTAAGGAACAAAACAGCCATAAATGGAAATGCAACCACGGGGCACGTCCCCACGCAGAGCACTGTGAGTCAGGCACTTGCAGTCTGTACCTTGCTCTCAGCTGGAGGATTGGAACCCCAAATCTTCCCTCTGGTGGATCTCAGCCCAGCAGTGATCATTCTTCTCCAGGGGCGCCTTCTTTCTAGGCTTCCACCGGACTGCCTGGATCTTGGCACCTAGCACTCACCTGATGCCTCCAACTAGACAGAACACCTCGATCCTCGGCTCACCTCTGCCACCTGTGTGTGGCCCACCCTGCGTGTCCTCCATCGATCAAGTCCTGGGCAGCTCCTGAGGAAGCCAGGATACCCTCTAGACTCAGGGATGCTTACTCTTCACTGCTGAAGTGACTCTTGGGTACGGGGACACCGTCACCTCTTTTATTTGCTGATAATAATAGCCAAACGACTTCCTGAACTTCTGTGGATGGGGAGGACACCGCCCCCACCAAGTGTAATCTACATTGATCCTTGAGATGTGTTGAAAAGACTGGAGGGGATTCAGCTCATCCTGGTCACAAGCCAAGTGTGGAGTCCTCTGTGCAGTGATGGATAAGCTGTCTCTGAAGGAAGTTGCAGTAAAGGGACAGGACCTGATCCCTCTGAGCTATCACCTTTGAGAACCTGCTGGGAGTAATCAGGTGGCAGGAGTGTGGGCATGAGGGGTGAATGTCATCTTTCTCTTTGACAGTACTCAGTTCGAAACGGTCTAGGCCTAGCCTCAGACCTTCAAAAGGGCTGGATCAGAACAGCTTTACAAGTGCAGGACCTGGGCCTCTCCCAGCCTTCCGAAGCCCACTCTGGTGATGGGGCTAGGATCCTGGCCTTTTTAAAGCCCACAGTAGGCTGGGGTACATAGCTCAGCAGCATAGAGCTTAACGTGCACACGGGCCCGGGTTCCATCCCCCCACAAACTAAAGAAAAAAGAAGCCTGTGGTGAACCTGATGCATTAGCTGCCAACTCAGGACCCGCCACGCTCTCTGCTGGTCTCTTGGTATCTGCCACGTTTCAGCAAAACCAGCAGCCGCTGCCCCTCAGCAGCCCAGATGCATGGCTTAAAAAGGAGCCCAGTGCCAGCTCACTCTGTTTTGATGAGCCAGGGGTCCAGCGGCAACTGGTGCCACCACAGAGCATCTGCTTGGTCCATGGTGGCCAGTGACCATGTTCTGGTTCCCAACTAGACGCTGCAGTCCCTCAGCCCCACACCTTCGTGGGAATAGGAGAAGCGGTGTGTACGTGTGTATGTCTTGTTATTTATTGAAACGAGTCTGGGTGCTTCCCCGGTGCGGGCTGCAGACTTTGCACACCCTTGGCGTTGCTGTGTTGTTGGGTGAACAGTCTGGGTGCCTGGCAAGAGTATTTTCTATTTTTTTAAGTCATTTCACGTTTCTGTATGAGAAAGGCAAATTCCGTAATACTGAGACTGGTCTGTGCAACCCTGACATGAGAGGTAAAGGCAGGGGGGGAAATAAAAGCCTTTTTATGTTCTTACGTTTTGGCTCAGAAAGAAACAAGGGAATGCTTGTTAGGTTAAAACAAAACAAGACAGAAAACAGACCCCATTCCAGCTGGAGTTAGAACCAGAATTTATTGTAGTGTATGTACTTTCCGACCTAGCATCAATACACACATCCAGAGGGGACCTGTGTCCCTCTCTGCATCAGCATCTTTCCATTGTCTAAACAGAGCAGCTATAGGGACAGGACACAGAACAGCAGCCACACAGAACACAGCACAGCTGTCAGTGTCCTCAAAACTAGCAATGAGAGTCCTAGGACAGTGTTCAAAATGATTCCCCCAGGCGTGGAAGTCTAAAGCTTGACATGTAGTAAAAAGCGAAGTGCTGGAGTTTAAGACGTGACTTTTTTTCCTTTTGCCTAACCATTGCAGCAGGACTCCTGGCTACTGGGGTATGGATTTTTCCTGCTCCCCCATGACAGGGGGCATCCTGGCAGGGGCCCTGAGGAGGAAACAGGGTCTGTTTTGGAACATTCTAGCAGCTTGCCTTCAGGGTCTTAGATCTCTCAGGCCCATTATAAGCTCCAACCCAGGTGGTCAGTTTGCAAAACAGCTGTCAGTCTCCATGAGCTAGAAATGCTTTCATCAGCAGGAAATGCACGTTTATTAAGCATCAGCTACGAGGCTGCACACGATGAGCCCAGGCTGCTCAGTGCGTGGAGCGAGTGTGTAAAAGAGGCCAGGGAACCAAACAGCCTCATCCCCAATACCAAACTAGAAACCGGTAGAATTCCAAAGACAAGACCGGCCTCCAAACATGGAACCCTGATTTGGTCCCAGGAGCAGCACACCAAAGCCTATGGCCCCCAACCCATCCGCCCGGCATGGAGACCCAAGCAAGGGCAGGGCAGGCCTCTCCAACCTGGCTTCTTGAGAGAAGATGAGGGAGGGGTCTAGGAGCTTTGAGAGCCCTCCTGTGCCTGGCTTGCTGAACCTCACGTTACATTCCTGGACTACACTAGCACAAAGGACACAGAGAATCCCGATTTATTTACAAATATTAAAAAGTCATTTGGTCATCTACATATTAACCCCCATTCTGCCATTTTATACATGCACTAGTTTGGAAAAAATAAAAACTTTAAAAAAAAGAAAAGAAACGAAACAATGGTTACCAGGTGGGAGTGAGCACTTTTACCCTTTGTCACCAAGTCCAGTCACTGAAGCTTTCCTGGAGGTGAAAGGGTCGGCGTCTTCGTGCCACTGGCACATAGGGGACACCAGACACATGTGGGGCCATGGCACCCCCAGGATGCAGCAGCAGGATGAGGCCAGAAGGAAGTGCCAGCTCCTGGCATAAGTGGCAGAGCGATCCGGGCAAAGGGAGGGCAGAGAGCGGGAGCCTACGGTTCTACACACCAAGCACATGGACGATCAGCGTTGGGGAGGGGTCTGCAGACCTGCTGGCCAAAATGACTTTGTACATCGTGGACCCATGGGGCTGGGACAGGGGTGGCAGTCTTCTGAGGCGGGAGCAGGCAGCTGGGGGCACGTGGTCAGTAGCTGAGCGTGGAGTCATCCCACTCCAACTGTTGCTGCCGGGTAGCATTCTGGCCATCTCCTGGGACCCCCTCCTCCTCCTCACTGCTCTCTGACTCAGCACTGGTGATGTCCTCCTCCTCTTCCCCATCCTCACTCTCCTCCTCCTCCTCCTCTTCCTCGTCCTCCTCACTGCTGTGCTGGTCCTCATATGTCTGGCAAACAGACAGCAAGTGTGAGTTCAGCTCATGGTCCCATCACCCAGTGACCACCTCCTGGGAGCCACAGAGGAAGGGAAACACCCCCAGTGAGACTCCCCAGTGACTCCCCACTGTGGTCCCATGGAGTCCGTGCCTGTGGGGAGAGGGGTGCTCCTGGCTGGGGAACAGAGCCCAATTTCCTATGTTTTCCTATGTTTATAGGCAGTATGACCTTCAACAAGGCCTCTGAGCCTCAGTTTACCCATCTGAAAATGAGTACCCCTGACCTCGTGGAGCTATTGTTCAGCCTAAGTGACACGGGCATGTGAAATCAAAGGCACCATGCTACCCTGAGCCTAGCCCAGCCTGGCCTGTGGAGCTGTGCGGCAGATCTAGGGGTCCATCTTCTCCTACCTCCATGGGGTTCACGGTGATCGTCAAGGCAGAGTCGTCCCAGTCCATCTCATTCTCCTTCCCTGTGTCCTGGTCCCTCATGGTTCGCTGATGTGCTGCCCGGATCCGAAATACTCCCAGGATAATCATGAAAACCAGGAAGCTGACACACACCACAATCACAACAGTCGCAGTACTGGGGACCACTGCCGTGGCGTTGAAAAGCAAAACAGAGCTTTAGTTATGTCATCAGCCAGCCAACCTGCCCTTGACTTCCTCAACCATGCTAGGTCAAACCAAGTTGGTCAGAATGCCTCGCCTGACCCCCGAGGTCTAGGAGGAAAAGGGTCTGCGCAGACGCACCCTGGCTTGCTCACACGTTCCGCTCTATGGCTGTGGGTAAGCTTTCATTTCCTTGTGTGTGACAGTTATGGGGACACAGCGATGGGTGATGTTGGGGTCTACCTGGCCCCTGCATAGACACTTCCCCCACTGTCCTACCTGCGAATGGGTGAGGGTTGGCCAGGTTGTGGCCTGACAGGTCCACAAAGGAGCGATGTTCAGGGTGAACAAACTGTGGCTGGGCAGCCATGTGGTTGGCGTGTTCCACGGGGTTGGCTGTGTGGATCACATTTACCTGCAGAGAGAAAGATCACTGAAATCAGCATACTGCGTGCCCAAGAGAGAAACGGAGTTAGCAGCTGACAGCTGTGCTGCTCTGAGTGGTCTCTGGACCGTGCTGGGAGCAAACAGGTCTGCCACTTGTGACAAGAAAAAAATCAAGAGTAAGCATTTAGAAAATGCTGTAACACTGATGTCGCCAGACAAGAAACACAGCGCTTTCCTAATAACTTACTTATAGTGCATCATATAAAGGAATCCGTGGCTTCAGAGTAGAAACAGCACAGGTGCTTCTCCTGGGTCAGTGGGAAAGCACTGGCGTACAGCGTTTTCCTCCTTCACCCCAAGACGGCCACATGAGAGAGCCCAACTCGCAGCACCTTGGTTCCCTTCAGAATCAGTCCCTTTGCTCCAATTCTTCTCAGCATTGTCAATTTAGCCTTCTATCACTGCAGTCACAGTGGAGATGGTCCATTGCTAGCAACAGCTTTGGGTCCATTTTCCCAAACCACTGAGGCCTGAGCCAGGAAGAAGCTGCAGTAGAGGCTGCTGACAGCTTCAGAGCACGACAAGCTGCTCTCTGTCATGACAGAGACCACCACCAGCCTCAGCAGCTCCAGCTCTACCTGGTGTTAGTCCCTGGGTCAGCCCCTCTCCCAGCCAGGGACCTGACTTTACTCTTAACAGGAACAGTGACCTGGCACAGCTATAAAGACCCCTTGGTTCCGTAGGGCTATTCTTTCTACACCTGTGTTCTCATGTATCTCTCACATTGTGAAACCTCAAGAAACAGCCTCACACCCTCCTCATGGCACTCCCTACCTCAGGTTCTTTTAAACCTCTCTCTCAGGCCCCTCAGGCTCTATTTGGGCTAAGGCAGTAAAAGTGGAGCAGTGACTCTGCTTGGGCCCCAAGCGTGACCAAGCCCACATGTCTACCCTGCAGCAGACCCCAGGCTGGAAGAGGCCGCCAGCCCTGGGATAAGCCATAATTACTACCAGAATGCACTAAAAATTTGGCGTTTGCCAACATGAAGACACAGAGTCAGGGAACTTGGGTACCACTGCTGCTGGCCCATGGGGCTGAGAGCCAGGACTCACCTCCACTTTAAATTCGTTGCTGAGGTAGCGGCCATTTAGCTCAGAGCAGATGAGCTTGAACTTCCGGTCAAGCAGGGATCTAGTATGCCAGTTCCGATAGCGCAGAAGGTGCAGAACCTCCTCGTAACTGGCCATGGTGTCCACGCCTGCAGGGTGGAAAGTGAGAAATGAGCTAAGTGGCTTCAGTTAAGAACCTGAACAGAGGCCCAGGTGGTTAAGGTCAGGCACCTGGGTCAGTTAAGCCAATGGGCCACACATGTGTGGCTTTCTGAGCAAGAAACAAAGGCAGAATACTCGCTCCAGCTTCTCACCTGTGAATACCACACCCAGGTCAGAGTGGCTCACTTCGATGCCCTTCTGCTGCAGGCAGGCCACATCCACCTCCAGCCTCTCGTGATCTGGGTTCAGCTCCTCCTCCTCCACCGTAACCTCACAGGTATCAAGGTCGTGCACGATTTCCTCGGACACCAGGGACTCTTGAACTGCAGAAATGGCCCAACCAGAACTTTCAGAGGCCATGGGGACCAGCGACGTGTCACCCCCCCAACGGATGGCCGGCTCGTGCTCAAGCTCACAAAGCCCTTCTGAGGACCAGTGATTGAAGCTGGGGAGACTCACTTTATGAAGTGGGGGTGCAGCTCAGTGGCAGAGTGCATGTTCAGCATACACAGGGCCCCAGGCTCCATCCCCAGCACCAAGTAAGTAAGTAAGTAAGTAACTGGGGTACTTAATGAGTCCTGAGCAAGAATAGTGGGGACAGTCCTGCTGGGCTGGCCTCAAGCTACACACATCTCAGACCCTGGTATCAGTCAGGAAAAGAAACCAACCCCCGCCCGTGGGTTTCCAAAGATCACAATGACTCCAACCACAGTCAGGTTCCAGAAGCAGACTCAGCCACAGCACTGAAACATTAACTCCCTTTGCACCCCCAGAAAAAGGGAGCCCCGTATGTAAGTGGCAGCACATGGGTTTCCAGCTGCAGCAGGTACTAGCCCAGGCAGAGCTGCGTTACCTGTGGGGTCCTCAGCCCCATCCCCTTCGGGCTCCACTTCTCTGGTGATGGTGCTAATGATCCGAAGCTCAGGAAACAGGAAAACGCCTTCTGAGCTCTCAAATTCAGAAGCCGCTCGGGCGAAATGGTGTACACCACTCAGGCTAATCTTGGGCTCCTCGGGCTGCAAAACCACCACATAGCCTTCGACTGGGGGGACTGTGATGCAAGCGGCCTCGTTAAAACACCTGCGGCAAAAAGTAGGCGGGAAGAGTTAGGGCCTCAAGAGCCCTCTCACATGCCAAAGGCTTGCAGAGGCAGACCCCACGGGATTCCTCAAGTACCCAGAAGGGACAGATGGCAGCCCCTCCTGGAATGCTTTCTCTAATTTGACCATAGATGCTTACTGTAAAAACCGGGACATACTTGACTGTGCTGGTGATTTTGAGCCTTCGGATGCCAGGTGTGGGGAACTGCCGTGAGTTCAGGTAGGAGACGCGCTGCATGGCCTTATCCAACTCCCCAATGTCATCTCCCTCCAAGGTCAACACCGACTGACTGGGGCTGGCCTGGATCTTCCATGCCAAAGGGAGAGCAAGGACAGAGTGAGGCTCCGATGAGCAGAGGCCCTGGCTGCTTTGGTGATGTGTAAACTGTAACTCCCGTGGGTGGGATGATACAAGACCCTCTTTTACATGATGGCAACATCGCAGGTGCAAACAACATCCACCCTTAATTCCCGCTGTACCCCACTGGCCTCCCCATCTGTGGTCTAGGTACTAGAATGCTGTGGCCATGTCTGTGTAAGTGGGCACTCAGAGTTACCTGCACGCCTTTGCCACTGTCTTCGGGGACCTGCAGGTCCAGCCCCTCTTTGCAGGTGTACAGACAGTCAATCACCTTCTTATCCGCCAGTTTCCCAGGGCGGACTGTTAGACCAGCCAGGTTGCCTCGGAAAAACTGTGTCATGTGTAGGTCGCCACCTTTGGAAGAGAGGGCAGAAGTGAGAAATCGGGCATGTGGCCCGGATGCCCCCAGTCACTTCCCAATGCAGTGTTACCAGTGGTGGCAGCTCGATGGATAGGCATGCAGGTTAGTTCAGACCAAATCCTGTTAGCCTTGCAATCCATGTGGAGGTATTATGAAGAAATTAAACTGCTGATGCTCATGCACACGGCCTGGCGAGGAGGGAACTGGAGGTCGTCCTCACCTGAAGCCCAGAAGCCCAGGGATCCCACTGGAGTCCCTGCCCATCTGGCCACTGGCCACTCCCTCTTCAGCCCTGCCCCGAGGTCAGCTGAGCACCTCGCAGGCTGCTTTCCTTACTGGAACACAGGTTCAGGGTGAAGCCATGCAAGTACAAGTGCAGCAGGACAAGGGGCAGTCACCACCAACGCCTCTGCTGAGGTCTTTCAGGAAGCTGCTGCCTTGTCCAACCCTATCGTTCCTATCTCCCACTTCTGAGGACCCGCAAGGGAAGACGCCGTAACACGCACCCTGAGCATGGCCCTTGAGACAACAACGAAGAGCCCAACACCATGCTCCACACTTGTGCTAGCAGAGGAGACTGACTCTCACCAGCTGTCTCACTCAGATAGGGCATGGGGCTTGGCAAGTTATCACTAGGAATCGAGACTTGTAAGAAACATCTCTGTGGAACTCAGTATCACTTAGAACAGAAAATCTAGAAACGAATCTTTTCCTGTCTTGTAGCTCAGCCTCAGGAGCGCCATGTCTGGCCTGGGAGGGTCCAGCAGGGAGCCTCGGGCAGTGGGATGTGGCTAGGACTCAGTGAGGAACTCACTGTACTGCAGGTACCCCCACCCCATTTCAATGGGTCAGGATAGAAAGAAAAGGGCAGTCCCAGGAGGCAATGGAGAAGCATAACACAGGAAGCAGTTGAATGGGTGCCCAGGCCCTGAGTGCAACTGGCACATTTCATGCGACATGGGATGAATTGATGTCTCATCTTTAAATGAAACACAATAGTGAACTGTAGGGGAAAAAATCCAGCAACCTGCAGAGGCCACAGTCACAGGCTCAGTTTCATTGTCATTTTCAATTCCTGAATACTCTGGAAAAGCAAGACAAAGACAATACAGAAGGACCAAGAGGTTAGGGTCTTCCAACTGGACCACGAATATCAGTTTTGAAGCAACCAAATATGAAACCCCAAGAGAAAATTCCCTCATGTCCCTTTTTGGGACATTTTCCACCTGGCTGCAAGCTTACTTTTGGTCACCTCTTCTCAGAGGGGGATCTAAAACCCCACGCTTACTTTGAATTCTTTTATTCCATCCTCCCATATCCCCTTGCTTGAACACAAATTAAATTCAAAATAAGATTAATAAAAGCATGTATTAATAAAAGCACTAAAAGCACTGATCTGCTCAGCCAAAGTAGGAGATTCCAAGGACGCTCAGCCCCAACTGCAGTGCTGGACTGGATGTAAACGAACCAACTTTGGACCAACAGCACCTTCTTGCAAACGGGGAAGACATTTTGTGCAGACCAAGGACCCAAAACCCAGCATATGGTGAACACAAGTCTATATTTTGGAAACTCAAAACAAGTTCACCATGTCTGGACTCTCAGTAACATTTCTAGGCACTCTTTCTGAGAGGGAAGGGAGACAGTGAAGGAACTCACCCACAGAAACAGAACCCTCGGTGGGCCTGGGCCCCTCGCCAGCTGCAGCTTCTGCAGTGGCAGATCAGGGCTCAGAATCTGAAGCCTGCTGGAGGGTGCCTGACATAGTCGAGGCTAGAACCAACACAAGAAGGATTGCTCTGTAGCAGAAACACCTCTACTCTCCCGGGTGCCCGGCAACACTGGCTTCGGCAGCCTGCTTAGGCACCTTACGTGCAGTAAGTGTGGGGATGTGTCTCCAGCAAGGCCAGACCCGTGCCCTGGTAAAGCCGCTTGCTGCTCCGCACCCATCACAATTTCCCCCATAACACAGGGTTATACTTATATTTTTATTATTTCAAAATATTATTCAGAAATTATTGTTTCATCTAGGAAGCACATTTGAATTTTAAGAATATCAACTAAAATCTTCCTGTATTCCCGTATAAATTTCTCATAGCTTGGTGTCACATCTACTTCTTCATGGATATTTGTCACCAACCAAAATTAAATCTGAGGATCTGCTGAAGAGGTTCACTCCAGTATGCTATCTTACTCCTCTGTACCCAAAAGACTGGAGAAAAATTATGAAATTCAAATTCTCCTAAAATAAGAAAATCTGTCTTAGAACGAGGTTCTTTCATAATTCTAACCCAGAGGGGCAAAATAAAAATTCAAAAGGTCTACTTAACAAGCATGTGTAGTGATGTTGACACCTGAAATGACACAAGATGAAGTCAAGTGCAAGTGTCAAAGTAAGATCATGAACCTCCCCTCCAAGGTAGACTGAGGCATCCATGAACATGGATGAGAACAATTCATGCTTATTTTCATTAACTTCTAAAATTCAGCATTTTCCTTGATTATAAAAGTAGGCTGCAAACCACAGCAGTGTTTGCGATAACTGTAACATTGTCACCAGCAGAAATCACTGATATTTCCGTATCATACCATGTAGCTGCAGATATCAATGTACTGTCACAAAGCTCTTCACGACTGTAAAATTATAGCCATTATTTTACAAAAGCTTGTTCTTCACTTGTTAACAGAGCACCATGGGTATTTCTAGAACACAGAGCTGGTCCTTTAATTTGTAGCACTATTTCAATTTAACTGGCTGCCTAGATTTCACAGGTAAAATGATGTACTGTGTATTATAGATTACAGAGTCTACAACTTTCACCACAGGAAGGCTCCATTCCACAAGACGAGTTCAAAGTCCTGGTCTGGTGGGTCATGGCAGGAGCCTGAGGTACACTGGCTTTTCAGGTTCAGATCCCAGCTTTGTGATTAACCATCTGGGAACCCTGGAGCCCCAGTTCCTATAGCTACACGACAAGACTTTGAGGATTACCTAAGATAATGTATATAAAGTAAGCAGCACACAGCTGGCACTTGGTAACTAAGTAGTAGCTTTGGCTCTCGTGGTGGGAATTGTCTCCCTCCCTAGTCCTTCAGTAGATTCCCAGAGATTCTCTTCAATGTGGCCATGCTGAAAGTGAGCAGCCCCTACTGGGTTCTGCCAGGTTGTCAAGGGCTAAACACTCAGGAGAATCCTTTACATTTCTGTGCCTGACTGTTGAATCCTGCCTCTTTGTCCTTGTAAACTTCAATAAAGAGATTAATTTATAAACTGGTTCTACGAGTTACACTCTCCCTCTGTGTACCACTCCCTCCCAGGTTCACAGCGAAGGGTGATGGTGTGCTCTGGTCCAAAACACATGCACAGCTAGGGCTGTGTCCAAATGTGACATCAGCCATGTCCCCGAAAAGGCTGCACACAGGCAAAGATAAAGAGAACAGGACTGAGAATTTAAGATGCTTATAAGAGCTGCTTCCACCAACATGGTTAAAGAGGCTTGGGGAACAGGGCCTGGTGACTGCTACCTTGCCAGCAAGCGCCAACCACGAGCTGAGTCTCTATCTTGGTTGGGTGAAGCGGGTAATCTTCAGTCACAGAGAAGGGCTCATGAGAAACACCATCCACGTAGAGTGTCACACTTGGGAGCTCCACATTGAGGACGAAGTGATGCCAATCCTCATCACAGACCTACCAGGGAAAAAGGAAGCATGAAATGTCAACCTGCCTCTCATCCAAGGACACAACTCTGAGAGAGTTCAGCTGGGTATGGAAAATAAGAAATGCATAGGAAACATCTATCTTCCTAAAAAGGATTTAAAAAACCCCCAAATATCAAACAATGAAGTGTTCTGAAAACACATCTGACCAAAAAGGGACAAGGTGCCTGGTATGGTAATACATGCCTGTAATCCCAGCTACTCAGGAGGCAGAGATCAGGAGGGTTATGGTTAAAGGCCAATTTGGGAAACAGGTTGGCAAGATCCCCAATTCAACAAGAAGCTGGGCTGGGTGGTATGCACCTGTTATCCCAGCTACATGGAGGGATAGGTAGGAGGATCTTGTCTAAGAGCAGCCCCAGGAAAAACACAAACCTTAGCTGAAAAATAACTAAAGCAAAAAGAGCTGGGGGTGTGGCTTAAGTGATAGAGCACCTGCCTAGCAAGTGTGAAGCCCTGAGTTCAAACTACAGTTCTACCAAAAAACCAAACAAAGGGACCCGACAGCACTATAATTTCTAGGGCATTTCAAACCAGATAGCATTCATCATAGGACAGGGCCCCCAAATAGGGAGTGGCCCAATTCTCCACCAATAGGATGACACCAGGAAATTCCTGAATCAGCAGCTGGATATCCGTTTCCTAACAGTTGAGTTAGGCTGCCACCTGGCCTTTTCTGAATCAAAATAAAAAGCACCTCCAATCTCAGAATCAGGCACTCAATAAAAATGCATATTTTTTTTTTCTGAAAGGTTTACCTTTTTTTCCTTACAGAAAAAGATCAACCCCTGAATTCTGATCTGTGTAGACTGAAGAAACTGTGAACAGTGTGTGAAAATGTCTATTGATCAGTATTTGAATACATGTCAGAAGCTACTCTGAAAATTGTGCCAGCCACATGTAGGCAATCAAAGCAACTGGGATTCTTTGTCAATGTCTAAGTTGGTGATCCAAACAGGAACACAGCCAGGTGCCAGTGACTCATACCTAGACTCCTAGCTACTTAGGAGGCTGAGATAAGGAGGATCTCCGTTTGAGGCCAGCCCAGGCAAATAGTTCAAGAGATCCCATCTCTAAAATAACCAGAGCAAAACAGGACTGGAGGTGTGGCTCAAGTGGTAGAGTGCCTGCTTCCTTTACAAGTGCAAAGGCTTGAGATCAAACCCCACCCTCCAAAAAAAAATTAAATAGGGACTTAGGCAGATTTGGGGGGTAGCTCAGAAGCATGAACAGGTTCAATTCCCAGCACCAAAATTAAGTTAGATAAATAAAAATAAGTAAGGACATACAGCTCAGGCTCTACGTCAAATTCAACTGAGTTCCTTTTCTGCTGTGAATGGGCACCATGAATATCTACCAACCAATTTCCATGCATGGCCCTATATTTGCATCTTGATCCAAACAAGCAAATTGCAGAAACAAAAATATTTATGAAACAACTTCACATTTGAACATTTATTGGATGTTTGATGATACTAGGAATTGTTTTTTTTTTTTTTTTTGGTACTGGGGCTTGAACTCAGGGCCTACACCTTGAGCCACTCCACCAGCCCTTTTTTGATGGGTTTTTTTTCGAGATAGGGGCTCTTGAACTACTTTCCCAGGTTGGCTTTGAATCGTGATCCTCCTGATCTCTGCCTCCTGAGTAGCTAGGATTATAGGCATGAGCCACTGGCGCCTGGCTGGAATTGTTGATTTTTTTCATTTGGCACTGGGCATCCAGGATCCCACACATGGTGAGTATGTGCTCTATGACTGAGCCCTTGTTCCTGTTCATTTTTTAAAGATGTGAAGAAAGTATTGTGATGTTATCTCTTAGAGACACAATAATGAAATATGCATGTCTAGAAATCAAAATGCTCTCTGATTTTGTGAAAATTATGGAGTCATTTTTTACAGATGACAGGAGTAAAAATGAAAGAAGCTAAGAGCTGGCCACTGATGAAGTCAGGCGAAGGGTATGCAGTGTTGTTCTTTACACTAATTATTTCTGTATGTCTGAAATTTTCTATAACAGTCTTTAAAAATATGTGATCAGAAGAAACTAAACATGCCAGACTACGGTTACTATAACAGAAGCATACCTAAAATGTCTATTTACACTGCAAACGTTTTTTTTTTTTCTAAGAATATACTTCTCTTAAATTTCTTGGGAAAAAAAAACAAAACAGAACTATGGTAAAAAGACTTCATAGAAAAAATTATTTACATAAGTAGAAATCACATCAGTAAGAGATGAACACAACCAAGTGGACACTCCATCTCTACAGTCACTTCCTGTATTCCTGTCTATCTTGTAACTGTTTCAGACGATGTTACATTTTAACAAAGACAGGTGCTTCTAACATGTCAGCCTTTGTCCATTCCATAAACCAAATAAAGCAAGCTAAGGGCCAAAGACACCCTTCTTGTCAAGAGAGGAAAAGGTCTGTTCCAATTGTAATGAGGCTTTCTAGGTTTACAGCACCCCCTTTTTCCTGTAACATGTAGATTGTTTCACCTGATATTTGCTTTTCCCCTCCTTTTGGGGCAGTGCTTATCACAGCAAACTGCTGGAAATGAGCTTTGCCAAGACATGATATCATCAAAAGGAGTGTTAGTAATGTGATCTCATGTCAAAACTGTAAACTATTTTAAGCAGGTGGTTTTGTGTGGCATCTGAAAGATGTCCAGATTGCTGGTTCTTTGAAAATTTAAAACATCCTGTGTGCCCTTGAACTGCTGAGTCACCCCAGAAGGGACTTAGTCAGGGGCCAAGACCTTAAACAATGATGAATAAATAAATGCAAGGTTCTCCATCCCAATATCAAAGCAAAGGATCCTTATTTCAATAAATTAGAATGGTATTTTGAGTTTAAATACATAATTCTAGCCAGACACCAGTGGCTCACTCCTGTAATCCTAGCTATTCAGGAAAGCAGAGATTAGGAGGATCATGTTTCAAAGCCAGCCATGGGCAAGAGTTTTCAAGACCCTATCTTGGAAAAAAACCATCACGAAAAAGGGCTGGCAGAGTGGTTCAAGTGGTAAGAGCACCTGACTAGCAAGTGTGAGGCCCTGAGTTCAAACCCCAGTGCTACAAAAAAACAAACAAAAAAAAAACCCACAATAAAACTAATTTTTATACCAGTATTTTATGTATAAAATACATACATGGAAAAAAAAAAGTAGGCTTTCAGTAGAAAGGACTTAAGTGGATTTAATTTGCTCTACTGTGACCCACAGACATAGCAACCATGACATCACTGCACAAGGTAGCACCACCTAATTAAGGTGAGGTTTTGGGCTGCTCACCTGATTCAGCTTCCAGTGGAATTCTGCAGGTTTGTATTTCTTTTCCTCAGAAGGATCCTGACGAAGGAGGAAAATCAGCCTGCATCCATGACATAAGTGAGTAACGGTGTCGGTTCATATCTGCAAAGACAGTTCTATGGGTAAATTTGCCAACCTAAGACCCAAGGTAGAAATAAGAGCCATTTCCTTAATGAATTTTGAAGACCACATTTTATCCGCATAATAACCGTCCGGTGGGATAAGGCAGGGTTTTAAGAACAAATACACTTGCGTTTTACTGAGAAGCTGGCGCATGATAGCTGCTGACAATCCACCAAGTAAACACTAGTTAGTATGTTCCTGAAGGCCCGTCTCTTGAGGCAGTGTCCCAGAACAAATACGAGCCCCTGGGGGGTTTTGGGGGAAAGCAGAGGTACCTGCCTCTGGCCACTACCCCAAGACACTGAGAACAACCTTGCATACCGAAGGGTGACCGACCTGTCTTGTCTGAACTGCAGAGGATGGTCTCCTTCTTCCTGCCGAAAGGCCCATGCCGCATCCACAGGGAGATTGTGAAGGGCTCTTTGGGTTGAGGACACTATGCCATCTGGGATCCTCACTGCCTGAGTGCCATGAACTCCAGACCTGGTCACTGTCGTGGCCGTTGTCAGTGGGGAGGCCGAGGGTCCAGTTAGTTGCTGCTGGGGGAAGGAAGCAGCTCAGCAGTGCCAGCAGCGGCCCCTAAAACCACAGCACGCCCAATGTCAGTTCCACGAGGAATAGAAAGTTTACGAGGTTCACAACCACGCTGAGGCACAAGCCTAACCTTAAGGATTTACCATTTGCTAGTTATAGTTTACTTTCCCTCAAAAGGGATTTTAAAAACAAAAATGAGTGATAATTCTGGTGGATGCTTTTTTAAATGAGAGGAGATGCACAATAGTGGAGTGTTTCTTATCCTCTCACCTGAGTACGTGCCATTTGGATATTAACACCCCCAAGTCCTCTTTTATGAACATCACGGTGGATTTTTCTTTTTTTTTTCAGTGCTGGGGTTTGAACTCAGGACCCTACATCTGAAGCCACTCCACCAGCCCTTTTTGTGAAGGTTTTTTTTTCAAGAAAGGATCTCATGAACTATTTGCCCAAGCTGGCTTAGAACCTCTACCTCCTGATCTCTGCCTCCTGAGTAGCTAGGATTACAGGCGCCCGACGGATTTTTTTTTTAACTCGACTGGAGTCCTGGCATGTCCATATATAATATATACATACACTCTTCAGAATTCTTCTACAGAATAATTTTAAATGCTTGCATAAGAGTCACTATACATACTCTGTAACTTTTTTAACTCATCTCCCAGGAGGACTTAGAAGCTGTTCCTAAACAGCCTCTTATAAACCTCTCCATGAGCACCCGTGCCCCCGAATTGCCCCTAGTTTAAATTAAAGAATAGGGAAAAAATTTCACAACTGTCTTACCTAACATCAAGGTCAAATTTTCTTTTCCTTCTTTTTGCATTAGGGATTAAACACCAGGGCCTCATGCATGCTCTACCACTAAGCTGTACCTCCAGCCTCCAAATTTTCTTTTAAACTTATCCAGCAAAAAAATTTTTGCAAGCTCTCCCTACTTAGTTGTTGTTCTTGACTTTTCTAGTCCTGGGGCAGCCTGACTCCAGTACACCAGCCTGGTCTTCAGAGTAAAGAAAGCTCTCGGTCCAATCCCAGCTCTGCTATGCTCTACCATGCGTCCTTTGCAAGGTACTTGGCATTACCGTAACCTTACTTATCCCCTTGTAAAAACAAGGTCAATCCCAGCTTACACCACAGACCTGTC